TATTGTTTATGCGTTGTATATGTGCGTGTTCATTCATTGTATATGTCAGAACTATGATCTGATCGTTACCACATATTTTTTCACTTTTTGTGATTTCTCGTTTTATATATATTCATATTTTAAAAGAACTCGAAGAAGCTTTAAATCGAACGTAATTTGCAAGTGCCCGAGGACTTTTTTCTTGATTTAAAGACTTTTTTCATGCATTCATTTCCGAGGAATTCTATGGTTAAATCTATCTATTTATCAACATGATCCCTTTTACAAAAGAAATTATATGCTCGGTACAATGATACACGTATAATGTTACCTGCAATAATTTCAAAGGAATTGAGATTTTTTTTAATTTGATCTCTGTTTAAAAATATTTTCGTCAAGCAAAATAAAGAGATAATTTTCTTTCTTTCCTTTTTTATCAGACTATTTCATTAGGCAGTAAAATATCAATACCTTTTATTGTAGTTTGCTTGAAAATTTTATGTTCATTGGAAAATTTGTATATAACATTAATCTGATTCATTTTAGAAGTAAAGTGCTTTCTTGAATTAATTTCTTTCCATCAAAAGCATTTTATAAGAAAGATACACAATTAGTTATCCTGATCCTATTTAAATTGGATTGTATACCTACTCGTATAGCAATGTTTGCTAAGATACGTTATACTTATACTTATAATATACTGAATCATATTTACTAAAAGGGATTTTCGGGTAAAAATTCTTTCACAAAATTTAAAATTATTTAGATGTGAAATCATCTTTATTTGTATATGTTTAATTTGTGGAAAAAGGATAAACTGGTGGTTTTTTTTTTTTTTTTTTTTTTTTTTTTTTTTTTTTTTTGGCTTACCTGTAGAAAAACATAGTACTTATCCAAGATTTCTATGGCCTGTTTTATAATGCAAAATTGATTTTTTTTTTTTTGCTTTTTTTCACTAGAATGAGTCTTATGCTTAAAACGTTTTAGGAATAAGAATATAGATGTTTATTTAATACTATAATACATATAATACTATCCCTCCTTTGCGATACTGTAACTTCATTTGGAAATTTACATTCTAACATACATTTTAATATAATGGAACTGTATTCACAATTTTACAATGTTTAATCTATTTTTGTATAAGGAAACTGTAATTTGCATATCAACATTTTGAAATCCATTTTGTTATACTTGAACTATTTTAAAAAGTTTGTACAAGTTGATAATTTGATCAGAATATTATATTTTGATGAATAAACTTTTTTCAACACACATGTGAGTTTGTCTAACTTTGATGTGTAGGTAGGGAAAGAGGAGGCATAAAATACTAAAAAGAAGTTATTTGTATCCACTTTTGATTCAATGATACATGATGTAAATGTGTTCAATATTGCAACTTTTAATTGTATAAATTAACTTAAGATGCACTATAAAAAAAGTTATTTGTATCCACTTTTGATTCAATGATACATAATGTTATTTATGTCTATTTATTTTCTCTCTTCATTTTCCCGGAAAATATCCGATATTTAAAATCTTCCCTTCCTTAAAGGTTAAATATAGGTTTAAAGGTTTGAGGTCGATTCGATTAAGGACAAATTGAATTCGAAGATTATTTTAAAGCACAAAATGAATTGTCATTTTATTTTGATGCTGATTTTTGTCTTAGAGATAAACAATGAACTGATGACTGAAAACCCCGGAATTTGCTCCATTAATGCATTAAGGTGTGTACAATTTTTTCCCCCGTTTAATTAAAGATTATAATTAATTTTTTAATTTTCTCTTTTGTTTTAGAAATCAACTAACTTTGATGATTTTAATGATTTATTTAATTGCATATATTATCTTTTTTTTATTCATAGTGAAATTATCGCTTGCTGTCATAATTATTATAAAAATGGCAATTTCTGCTTAGGTAAGGAAGACGCTTGGACTTTTTGTTTAAATCTTAATCTATTTTCCAAAGAAATGTTTTTGTAATTTTTTTTTAAATATTGTGTTCTGAAAAGCATGTCCTCTTGGAACATTTGGGTCAAACTGCAACGAAACTTGTCCAGAAGGTTTCTATGGGCACCTGTGCAAAACGAAATGCGGTTGTCGTCAATGTGATAAAGTCAATGGCTGTCTTGTGAGAACTGGTAAATAGTTATTCAATCTTTTTAGATAAAAAAAAATAAAACGTTATCTTTTAAGAGCATCTAATGAGTATATCACCTTTAAAAAAATCAGTTTTTAAATAAATTAATTTCAGATACCAAAATTGCATAAAACGAAGCTGGGAAATAGGTTTCTAAAATGTAATTTTTTTGGCTAGAAATTCCTTATTTTTAGAAAAAAAATTCTGTTACAACTGCAGTCTGAGCTCTCATCTTAGAAGATTGTTTGAATCGCTCCTTTTGAATTGATTAATCATTACATGTACTTGAGATGATTACTTATTTCTCAGAATTTCAATTCTATCAATCAAGGTGAAAACAGCATAACGAAAGAGGAAATCTACCTTTCATCTCTCGGAGCTCTTTCTTTTATGGTTTGCTTGTTAATTGGATACATTATTCGGAAGAAATGGTATGCTTTTGATTTTTTTCGAAACGGATTATTCTGACATAAAAAATCCCATTAGTGCATTCATAGGTCATATGTATTTGAATAAAATAATTTCATTTTATTCTTTAGTTTTCGGATGCGGAGTCCAGGTATATATCTTCAACCTTTTGTTGGAAGTGAAAGACCTGTTGCATTACAGAATGATTATGAATTCCTAAATCGACACAAAGATGAACAATCATGCACTGCACAAGAAAAGCAAATCACTGATTTTGAACTGAATAATACAAATACTCCAAATCCGTACATAGAAGTTTTGTAAAGTTTATGAGGAGATTAACTTGGCTTTTTTTTTAATATTCCATATATACAAAGTTGTTTTTTTTTTTAGCCCTCTTAACAGATACCACATTTAAAAAAAACATTAACAATCAGATGAAAGCTTTAATTCGTATTTATATCAAAACATGAAAATCTATATGTATATACAAAATGTATCATGTACTTGTGTATTTTAATTTTTTACCATGAAAATTTGTTTCACATCAAGTTGTCTTTATCTGACAAATAATACATATTATTTGGGCATTTTCAATTGCCTTTGTTGTTAGATACTGCACTGTAAGCTATTTGTTATTTTTCTAACATTAACTTGGCGTAGATAAAGTTAAACTTTGGACTTCTGGTCAAGAAACTATTATATATGCTTTTGAAAACACATGAAACACATCCTTAAAGTCGTTATATGTACATTATATCTTAAGCTGGTTTAATTTTCTTTATTTTAAGACCATCACCAACATTAGCAATGAAAAACCAGTCATTTTGAGGAAATATATGGCTTTTCAATCCTTAAGACAGAAATTTGTTTCACATTTAAGGCAAAAATAAACAGCTACAAAGCCACCATTAAGCCACCAAAACCCACAAATATATGTGAAAAATTATTTTATTAAATTTTATGCAAAAAAATGTGATTTTGGTTAAGAAAAAGGACTAAAAAGCAACTTCCAGTAGGGAGGAAAGAAATTCATTCAACCGTTAAATAACTACCGGCGCTCTTAGGATTTGGAAATAGTAAACATTTATTTTTCACTAACTTTTTTGTACATAGTTATAAAGTTTATATTTTGGAACGTTTCCTAAAATTTATTAATGTTGCGTTTTCATTGACGGATCTTTTTAAAAGGTATAAATTTCATTTTATTTCATGTTTAGTTTTCGGATGCTGGTTATTCGAAGTATATATATTCAACCTTTTTGAAATGTAAATTACCTGCTGCATTACACAAAAAATTATATTTGAATTCCTAAATCGACACAAAGCTTTTTGTGAAAATATGCACTGCACAAGAAAGCAAAAACATTTTTTGAAGAATACATATTCAGTTTATATTCTTTTTGTATCATTACATCAAAATAATTGTTTTGTAAAGTTTATAAGGAGAATAACTTCACTAAGTTTTTTTTAAAATATTTGATCATCAAAATCTGTCAGTGAACGTTGTTATATATATATAATGTTTTTGTGGACACCCTTGCGCTATTGTCTAACAATACTATATTACTGTTAATAAAGAACTGTTCAATGTGTATAAATCATCCATTGGGATAAAGAAAGCTTTAATTCGTATTTCATATATTTTAAAAGAAGAAAATCTACATGTATATATCAAAATGCATCATCATACTTGCATATTGTAGTAATTGTTTTTCAACCTCAAACAAAAATTTGTGTCACATTGATTCTAATGGAGGAATCCGACAAATAAAACATATTATTTGCGCACATGTCATGTGAAAAAATACTATTTTGACTACTAGCGGAACTATAACACTGAAAGCTATTTTTTTTTTAACATTATATTTTTTGAATCAGGAGATGGAAAGTTAAATTTATTTGATGCTTAGAGTAGTCATTTCGGTGTGTAATATTATTATAATTATATATTTTTTAAAACAAAAATTGATATTGTAATAAAAAAACAATTTATATTTGAAAAAATTATAATACTGATAAAACATGACATTTTTCATTCTGATTGTTTGTCCATTTTTTTACAAACTGAATTGACGACGGCTATTTCCCTGTTATTTCCCGAGATCATGACAAAAAGTTATATAGGGGACACGGCGGCTGTATATTTTGTGCAAAGGGGATGTTCACTCCTCAATGGCACTTGATCCCACCTCTGATGTTTTGGAGGTCTGTGTTTTCTCTGCTCCTATTTTGTATTGTGTAATGGATATTTGATCTTGAATACTGTTCGTTGTTTCTATCTGTAGCTTTTAAAATTATTTAAAGTAGAAAAAAGTTCCTTGTGTACAATTTATGTTGAGTCAAAACTTATTGACAGGCACATGTTTTGTTAAAATATTTTTCAATGAAATATAATTTATATTATAAAATGTATAATAGTAGCGTATCATTAAACGCATGTCTACCAGTTATCTATCGTACAAACTGTAGCGAGATGTCTCGATTTCTATATGTAGCTTTTGAAATTATATAAAGAAAAAAAGGTTATATCTTTTTACCAATGAAAATGTTATCCAAGGAATGTCATTTAATGAAAAGCACGGTACATATCTTAATCAGCAATCATAAAGGCATCAATATAAATTATCATATGCAATTTCAACAGTACATTATAATAACTGCTTTGTTTTCTTTAGAGTAAATTTATTTCTTTTTCAGTAATCACATTCAAATTTTACTTTACTGTAGAAAAACAAATTTTCGTGGGAAACAAATTCCGTATATTTCTTACATGTATCTTCAATTGTTTCGTGAGCATTAATTGTTGTCCTTTCGAAAGTAACACTATTCAATATAAAGTAATATGAGAATTTCAAATATAGTGAAATAAATGTAAATACACAAATTTCTTTCAAAATTCAAAATTAAAATCTATATATTAATTGCATTTTAATAGACACAAAGTTATTATGCCTTTTAGATTTAATAAAAAAGTAAGTTTTTATATCCGAGGAATCTAATCCTGTGCGCATTGATAACAATATCTAATGTTTAAAAAGGTTTTTTTTTCTATCAGAGTATCGATTGATTTTGGAACAATAGTTGCTAGTAAGCTCCAGTTTTCACCGTAAATTAACACAAAAGCAAAGATAAAGCAGAATATAATTTAAATATTCCAACCATTTTTCTGTTTCAGATCTTTAAGAATACATGTAGTTTGTGAAAAGTGCTGCGAATCTATCTAGATTCCCTTATTAAATTGCTAAAATTTAATTTGTTAAACGGCGGGTTGAATATTTTGCTGGTCAACTACATTAAATTTAGCTATAATGAATTTATTTGCAAGATTTCATGAGGTTCGCTGCACTTTTCAAATATGTTAATGCTTCTTAAGTATATGTGTAAAAACATGGCAATATACACTGAGGGTATGCCCTTGCAATAAATCGATTTATAAGGGCCCTTCTATTACTTTTTCAATGAATCTGCATACAAACACACAACAGTATCACTTGTCTGGAGAATATACGGACAATTATAAATAATATAGTAAAATAGACATCGCATCCAAGTTAATGGCCTTTTATTTAATTGCAAATAATTTTTATTTGAGAACAAAAACATTTTTCATTGTACAAAACGTGATTTGATCAGCCTCTCACTGTGTACAATCTGCGTCATTTTTGCGAGATGACGTCACATTGACAAGTGCATTGCGATCGATGCATCGTTTATATATTGTTGTGTGGGATTTAACAAACGATAAAACTGCATGTAATAGTAAGTTTTATGTAGTCTACAGCTATCCAGCAGTTTGAATTAGCAAATAATTTCAATAAGTGGTATTTTGAAGACCTTATATTTTGTGTGACGTCATAGTAAACATTTCCCGTACAAATTAGGCCCCTCCTCCTTACTATAACTTTAAGGTCAAGATCTAGTAAATGTCCTTAGATTAACTTTTTGGTGTTAGATCCATTATGACGTCATAATCACTTTCAACTTTCTTTTTCCCGTACTTTACGGCTCTAATAGAATTATTAGAAAATAAAGTATTTTCATGACATTCAATTGGAAATCACCTGAAAAGTAGTCCGGATACCTATATCAAATTTAACATTATTTTAATGTGGAGACCAAGAACATACACTTTACCGTTTTCTGAAAGACTGTAGGCAATCTGGATACATTTTGTTTGTGTGATATGGAAAAAACTCCCATATTCATGACTGGTTCTCTTCGTTTTTCATTGAAAATGACAGTTTAAATATGGTTTTTCATCTTAAAAAACAAATTGATATACCTTTTTTGACCAAGCTAAAGTTATACAGCATCATTAAAGGAATTCATTTCTTGAATTTGATAAATCTGTAGGCACCCTTCATTTACTAGATCTTGACCTTAACTGTGCCGCGTTACTCTGCTCATATTTTGTATTGTTTTATGGACTTTGATATTGAATACTGTTCGTTATCTCCATATCCTTCATTTACAAATAAAACCGGTTCTAGCCTATAATCTTTGAATCGATTAACCTACATCCCGTATCTTGAATTAAATTAAAAATAACATTTGTCGGTGTTAATTTTATACATTGTCACTGCAATATCGGGTATGGCAGTTTTTGTAAATGAAATAATTTTATTCATTATGCAAGATAAATTATCTTGTTAAGTCAATATAGCTATCGCAACAAGATAAGATAGCCTATATATCTTGAGTCGGTGTTGGTAGACAAACGAAAAAGTTATCCTGACTTGACTAGATTGTTATCTTGTCTTTGCATGATATTCAATGATGACAAACAATTATGCAGATGACATAACTACTAGTATAACACTATATCACCGAAGGCCAATGCGGCCATGTCCAGTTTAATTGCACGAAATTAAAAGCTGTCGAATAAAGGGATAACAAAGGAACCTCAAAGAGGAGCATCCCATAAGTAAAACTTTAATCTTGTTTTTTCCCCTTATCTTTAAAGCTGATATTCCAACTTTATTCTTTATTTTAAAAACTTTATAGTATGTAATTCTAACTCCGATATCATAATGGCTTTTTCAACTTCAAAGTTGGCTTTTCAAACTTTAAGGTCAGGATCTAGTAAAAGTCTTCAGAAACTTTTTGGTGCTATATCCATTATGACGTCATAATCAGTATCAACTTTCTTTTTCCCGTACTTGACGGCTCTAATATAAATATGTAGAAAATAAAGTGATTTCATGGAATTCAATTTGAAACCATATGAAAAGTAGTCCCGATACCTATATTAAATTTGAAATTATTTAAAAGAAGAAGAAATTAGCGTTTTCTGGAAGACTGTAGGCAATCAGGATACATTTTCGTTGTCTGATATGGAAAAAACTCCAATACTCATGACTGATTTTCTTAATTTTTCATTGGAAATGTTAGTTTAAAATATGATTTTTCATCTTCTTTACCTACAAATTATGGCCCGGAAAACCTTATCTGACCAAGCAAAAGTTATAAAGCATCATTTAAGGAATTTATTTCTTAAATTTGATATGTCTGTAGGCACCTTTCATTTACTAGATCTTGACCTTAAAGTTGGTTTTTCCTTTTTTTAATGTTGGCTTTTCCACCATTAACTCGCCCGTGTGGCGCCATGGGCAGAGCTTCTGCTCTGGAACCTCGAAGTAAGGACTCGAATCTTTGGTCGCGGGTTGAATCCCAGTGTTGATCGTGGAGACTGGTCCTTCGGATGAAATCTATAAACCGAGGTCCCGTATCGCAGTAGGCGCTGGCACGAAAAATATCCCTCACTGCTCAACGGTCCTAAGTGCCGAGTATAGGACAACATTTGAAGCTCTCAACGGGCAAGAGATGGCGTCTCCATATGAGTGAAAGATTCTCGAGAGGGAGGGACGTTTAACAACATGCAATCAATAGATCCAACTTAAAAATTGGTAATTCTAACTTTAAAATTGGATTTTCTAACTTTAATCTTGGCTTTTCCAACTTAATAATTGTTTATTTCTACTCTAATTTAGACTTTTCTAGCTTTGAATTAGGGAATGCAAACATTTTCTTATTTTAGTCTTGGCTTTTCCAATTTTAAAGTTGGTTTTTCCCCAACTTTATTCTTGGCATTTGCAACTTAAAACTTTATATTTCCAACTTTAAGTTGGAAAAGCCAAGATAAAAGTCAGGTAAGCTAAAATTAAAGATGGAATTATACATGTACCAACTTCAAAGTTGGAAAAAAACAATATTAAAATTGGAAAAGCCAACTTAAAAAATTACTTGGCACTATTTAAATGAATCAATTATGCGATACTTAAGCTTTGCCATCAGATATAAAAGGACGTGTTTGAACCCTGACATGTAAATTGAACAATGTGTAATTGATCTGAAAAAAAAAAAAAACATGCTCCCTACATAACTATTAGGTATTTCCTGTCTGTATTTGCCTTTGAATCTGAAACTTCCTACATTTCATTCTATACTTCCTTTATTTTATATAAGTTCCTCTGTAGAAACTGCAGAACATTCACAGAGAAAAAATAACGTCGTTCCTAATATACAATGGAATATCTTTTTCGTTCAATTTGGATGTTTAAATTTTATTTTGCTTTACACATTCATAAGATATTTGCTGAAAATTATCCTGGAATCTGCTCGAATGATACCTTTGGGTGTGTATTTGATGTTTGAGCTGCATTTCTCTATTAAATTTGTTTCTTTATATTTTATATTGACGTTTTTATCTGTACATAGATATGATAAAATAAAATAAGGCCTATATAATATTATTTCTTTTCGTTGCAATGAAAGGAATATCACATGCTGTCAAAATTACTTCAAAAATGGCAGTTTTTGTATTGGTAAGGAAACTAAATTTCCATTTTTTTGAATTCTTTTTAATAATTTTTAATAATAACTATTTTACTGAATATTGGTTTTCTTTTCAAAGCATGCCCACTGGGTACGTTTGGAACAAATTGCAGCAGTACTTGCCCTCAAGGATTTTACGGATTTTTTTGCAAAGAAAAATGCAAATGTTATCCATGTGACAATGTCAACGGCTGCCAGATGACAAGTAATATATTTTTTATGCTAAATTATCTTAAGCTTAGTACTGTCATTAAAAATGATATATTACGTAAGTGTTGACACAATTTTATTTTACGGGTACATTTTTCCATGAATGCTCTGATCCATAAACTCGTCATCGATATTTAACTGATCATGAATGAGGGTATTCAGCAATTATATTTCAAAATCAGTTTACATGATTATATATTCAAAGACTGAGAAATCGACAGTCTATTACAGTGTAGGAAAAAAAAATATTTTTCGTCCTTTTCAGATTATTGTCCGACCGAGTATATTCGATACCCTACGGATTGGCGAACAGTTGTTTTATCAACCACAGGGTGTTTTCTCGTCTGCTTCACAATAGGGATTACAATCTACCTAAAATTAAGGTAAGGAAAAAATATTTTAAAACATGTGGAGAGCTCAAATTTCGATATGTTGTAGCACAGATTCATCTTAAGTAATTCATAACCATTTGTAACGTTTAAATTAAAAGCTCTTTGACTTAAGTTAAAACTCATGTTAAAAGAATTTTGCTTCAGGGAAGCAAAAAAGGACAGTATTTCAATATTCTTTCCCTCCTTTTGTTTTTCATGAGCTAGATTTTTATTTATTTTCTTGCACATACAATGTAATTTCACATAACTCATGATTGTAATCAATTATCTAAAGTGCTATTTTTAATATACGTACCTGTATAAAGAAATAAAAATTAATAAACAAGATTATTTTTTACAGAATTAACACTTCTAAAGGATCATATATTTTGCAAGACAAAGGTAAGGTTAACTCAATAATTTCGTTAAATCTAAAAGTCCTATCGTATATGCTCTTTTTATGATTGGCTAACGATTCGTTTTAATCATATAGGGAGTTATTTCAACAGAACTGATGAAAATCGGCATCAAAGTCAAAATAATAACAGCGCTACACATGCTTTTATACAAGAGAATAGGTTTAATTCAATAAAACAGACATCGATAGAATCATCAGAGAACTGGAATGCAAGGCAAAATGATCTCTCAAATAATAAGCTAGTTGGAATTCATAATCATGAAGCTTATTTATCAAAAAAGGGAATCAAAGAGCAAAAAGAATATTCTAGGTCTTTAATGGACCATGACCACGAACCATATGATATATTATCTCTGAAGTGCAATTCTAGCAATATTTCGAGAGGAAATTCGTTTAAAGAACCCGTGTACAAAGAAGCGGCCCATTCAAGCCATTGCTCTGCCACATCGGAACATATATATCGAAAAAGTTTTCTTTATCCAGAACAAATGTTGAAGAAAGATGAAGAAAAATTTCAAATGCATAAAATTTTGGAGGAGAATCCACTTTTAAGTACAGCTGAGACCATGGAATTTAATCAAGGACATTCGAACTTAACTGAAAATACCAAAAGGCAAAGACGAAAATATAGGGAATCAAAGAAACGAGAGCGAGAAGAATACATGTATGGGTTCACAATGATGTTGGAAAATTTCAAACCAAGGCAGGAATCGGATGGAATTGGTGAATTTGATAGACCCTCAAAAGATCAAAGAAAGTCTTCGAAAAAGAATGAGAGGAAAGTCTTAAGATACAGCTTCGCTCGCCCGTTAGAAATGAATTAGTTTCTCTAAATTGCTATCGTTTAAATTATTCCCTCGCAACTGATTCGGAGGGGGTATGGTAACTGTAAAACGCTTGTTTGTGTGAGGATGTGTAAGTTTTTGTGTGTAAGTTTATTCTGTGTGAAACGGTATTGAGGTACGTAATTTGCATCGGGATCGATGTCGAATATTACCCTGAATTATAGATATGCCCTTTGTGAAGGGATGCTTCGCTTTTCAATTGCAATGTCCTTGTAAAAAAACAATTTAATTTTAACATCTTTTGGTAATGTATATTGATTTACAATTTTGATATGATAGCTATGAATTTTTTGGGTAGATATATTATATTTCTTTTTAAAGCTGTTTATTTCTTTCAAGCTTAGTTTTAATTTAGGCATAAACCCACAGCTGCAGGAAATACTTCATAAATTTGATTATGTTTCAAAATATATACAGGTACTGAAAAGTGGAAAGTAAAACAAAAACATTATATAATCAAAACCTAAATAACAGGGAACCACGAATTAATTTCCGTCACCTTTTAGTAAATCGTGAAACGTGCGTATTATTTCTTTAATATAAATTATCGTTTTTTAAGAAAATTTATCATCATTTAACAAGTAATTAAAATTTCCAAACTTATGAAAATAAATGAAAAGTATATTACCTTTTTTTTTTAATTTCTAAATTCATAAATTCAGATCTTTCTGGTATAAAAATATTTCAATGTTTCCCTTAAACTTTTCTCTGTAAACTTAACTCTTTTTTCAAGGAAAATGCAATGACCTCAAAGCTTTAATTGAGAAAACCAGTTTTAATATTACTTAATTTCATATATCTTTTACTAATCCCGAATTGTTTTTAAGTCACCGACGCTCAGGTAAGTTTTTCTTGAAGTAAATCTGATAAAAGAAGTGTTCGTCTTTCCATCTGTCGTAAGTTGTTAGTAAACTTTACACATTTTCACCATCTTCTCAACAATCACTACGGAATTTTCAACCACACTTGAAACAAAGCATCATTGGGTATAAAGTGGATTTCAGTCTGTGACCACAACGGTAGGTCGAAGTTAAACATAGAAACTAATGGGTGTAATGCTTAATTAAAAGGTATTTGCGTAAAATGCATTAAAGAGCTTCATAAGTGGAATGACAACCCTTCGCTAGAGTGTAGATAAGGCAAAGTTTTGGGAAATCAGGCATTGAGAAGCAAACTGAAGAAGTGGGCTATTGAATCAACAATAAAGAAGTTTAGGGTAAGAGCAAAACAAAAGCTATAAGCACCAGTGGCAAGTATCCTAGATTTGAAAAAAAAATAATTTCATCCTATTCTTTGGTTTTCTGATGCAGAGTCTAGGTATATATCTTTAACCTTTTGGGTGGAAATGAAAGACCTGCTGCATTACAGAATGATTATGATTTCCTACATCGACACAAAAATAAATAATCATGCACTGCACAAGAAAAGCAGATCACTGATTTTGAACGGAAGAATAAAAATTCTCCAAATGCGTATATAGAAAATTTTAAAAATATTAGCAGATTAACTTGACTAATTTTGTTTACATATATTAAGTGCATAAAGGAATCACACACACATATATATATATATATATATATATATATATATATATATATATATATATATATATATATATATATATATATATAGAATGGTTTTTTTTACTCTTGCGCTTTATTCAATCACATTCATTAGTTTGGATGAAGAACTTGAATTTATTTACAATCATTCATGGGATATATAGAATTTTAACCCCCTTCCCCGCAGTCACGCATTTTAACGCATATACCATTTCCAATTTCAATGCAAAATCACGCATATACAGTTTCCCCGCAATCACGCATTTTCACGCATTTCAAAAAGTTCATTTAATCTTCAGTTTAATGTCAATTTCCTTCTATTTTATACTTGCTAAAATCTCATAGAGTAAGAAAAGTTTTTTTTTTATTAAAATATTACGTCAAAGTATTATTTAGGCGAAACTTCAGAGAAACCTGTAGCACGCTAAAAAGTGTATGCGGGGAAATGGTAGCTTCAAACTTCTAGGACGAGAACATTAAGTGTATGTTGCATAGCAGTTCAGTAAATTTTAAAGAGTTAATTAATATTTCATATATTTTAAAAGAAGACAATCTACATATACCAGGGTTGTTAGAAAAGTTCGCGGACATATCGATTTACGGAAAATCTATTGTGTACTGTGAAGTGTGACCTATGTCTTATAAAGTTCCTTTCTTTTGTTTGTTGATATGTAAAAAATCAGGAGGTCCATTTACTAAAACTTTGAAAATTTACAACGATTTTACTATGCGGTCATAGGATTTACGGAGTGATGTAATAGCCATATTTCAAACCCTTTTAAGGTTTTTATTAGTTCTAAATATCTTAAATTTCTTTGACTTTTCTTGTCTTTTTTTCTACTTAAAAATTAAATATCAATATTGAGACATGTTACTTTTCTTTTATAATGTCTGATGTGTTTATTTTGGATATTATCGATATCTTAAAATGATTGTCTACTGAGTTAAGCGATCGTGATCAAGTTTGGAAGCAATGCAAAATTCTGAGATGCAACTTCCATGAAGTGGGGTACTGAGGTATCGCATGAAAGTTGATAATAAAAATGTTAATCCTTCCATTCTTATGAAGCTACTACCAACTGAATATTATTGCCTTTTGTACGTATAAACAATTCTATAGCAGCATATAGAAGCATTTTAGTTTATTTTTTGACATTTTCTCGTCTACACACATAAATTTAGTATCTCTGTGCTCAATGACGTTTAATGACGTTCCCATTCTTGACTTTCAGTTTACGAGTTGATTACATATGAATGGCTCTAAAACATTCATACACCATCCCATTCAATTCAAAATTTCACCAAGTTACGTTTCATAAATACTGTAGAATTTCATAATTCTTTTAGTGCAACAACTGTCATTTTTTAATTTCATTAAAACGTCTTTGTAATATGAACGTTCAAAAAAGTAGCATGTTACGTGAAGCATGTTTTTTTTTCAAAATAATATGCTGTAGAAGTACTTTTTTCCGCGTGGTATTAATTTACTCTATGTACGCGGTCACTAACTTTCCGCGGAAATTTGTCCAAGCGTACTTAATATAAATGTAAGGCATATAGTGACAATCCAGAACATCCGCGTAATTTTTTACCCACAGATTAAACAAAAATTGAGATTCCGCGGAATTATGACCCCGTAGAAAAAAGTACGTTTACAGTAGCTGTATAATTTGTATAATCTTTGTATATTTATTGGAAAAATGTTCAAGTTTTTATTTGGAGAGTTTAACCGGTTTCTTGGAAATAGCGGGCTCACAACAGAACTTGTCCGCGAACTTTTCTAACAACCCTCGTATTTATCAAAATGCATCACCATACTATCATATTGTAGTCATTGTTTTTCAACCTTAAACGAAGACTTGCATGTGTCACAATGTTGTTTAATTGATACCATTGGAGGAATCCAACAAATAATATATACTATTTGCAAACGTGTGAAAAAGTACTATATTGATTACTACGCACTGAATGCTTTTTGTTATTTTTCTAACATTATAATTTCAAGGAATCGGAAGTTAAGTTTAATTGATGCTTAAATTCATCATATCGTAAGTTCTATGTTCGATACAATGATTTTTTCGGCAAATACAATTTATCATTGAGTCAAATGTTTACGACTATTTTTTCGTATTGTTAGTCCATTATTTATATTCAACTGAATTGACGATGAATTTTTCATTATACCTTGTATCCCGATCACGACAAAGATTACACGGCGGGTGTGACCGGTTCTAAATGGCAAGGGATGCTCACTTCTACATGGTACCTGATCCCACCTCTGATGTTTTGAGGTCCGTATTTGCCCTTTTCCTATAGTATCTATTTTGTATTGTTTTATGGATTTTTGATCTTGAAAACTGTTTGTTATCTCTTTATCACCCCTGTCAACGCGCGATCGGCAACGCTGATGCGATCGGCAACACCGATCAAAACATTGAAGAAAAAGCGTCGTAGTGGTTAAATAAAATAGTATTGTGCGCGCTGGATTGAAACCAGCTGTAAATAAAATTAGAAAACATTTAATTTAGATTATTATCTACAGTGTAGGATTCACTGAGAGTAAATTTGTCAAAAAGTTTTTGTGCAAATGTTACCGATCAAATCGACAATGTTCAAAACATGAAAGAATTAAGTACGTTAGTTATTATACGGAGGCCCAGTATTTTCCGTAAATTAATATACAGGTTTACCAAAATATAAAATCTATTTGCATGTACTAGAAGATTGGTAGTTTTAAACTATGCGAAGCAAAATTTGCAAACTCTTTTTATTAGACGTATACACCACGTTTAAAGATCCGTTTTTTCCGGTGTAAAGACGAATAATGACCCCCATCGAATAATGACCGGGGGTCATTTTTCGACAGCGAAAAATGACCCCCCGGTCATTATTTGACGTCGAAAAATGACTCTTTTGCCCGTAGAAAAAGTGTCACCACCCTAAAAATTTGCAGAACCCACGTGAAGAAAAATGACCCCCGTAGAAAAATGACTCCCTGCGGATTAAAGCTGAATTTTTAAGGGGGCAAAAAAAAAAATAGATAAAGAAGCATATTGGCCAAAATGCTCACCTGAGCTAATTGGGAATAAATTGATGATACATGTATGTTGATTTCATAACATTATACAATTATAGCTATATTTTAAGGTCAATGCGATGATTCAGAATCTAAAAGAGTAAAAGATTTATCGAGCCTAAAGGGTTAGGTAAACAGTGTTTTTCGATGGTGGAAATCATCGTACTGACAGAAAAAATTCAGCAGTATAATATATTATTATTTCCTCCGCTTGAAAAGGAGGGTATATAGTGATCGGGATGTCCGTCTGTTATGCTTTGGGGTATCCATCTCTTATCCGCAACTCCTCTTATTTAAGGAATGAAGCTTATTTCAACTTATATTATACGATATAACATAACTTGGGGCAGTTTACGCTTTATAAACCGCGAAGCGGTTTATAAAAAAGCGTAAACTGCCCCAAGTTTTGTTATATCG